ATCACCTCTGTCAGGAAGTGAGTAGTATGCTTCATCGCTGTACAATAATGTACATTAAAACAACCTGGAAGGCAGCTGGAGTCCAGAGCTAAATGTAATGACCAATCTTGGTTCTAGAGACCAGATAATGAAACACATTCTTCCCTCTTGGCAGAAAAGTGGGGGGCAATGGGTGTGGAATGAAGCATATACTCTCAGACACAATCACTTTGTTGGGCAATTTCGTTTAACTAGTTTTCTTTCTATAGGGGAAGACTCAGTGGGGCAAGAAGGTATGATTTTCATGATGCAAAATACAAAAAAGCATTAAGAAAAAAACTTTTTACATATTCATGATATGGAGACGTGAGGCTCCAAAGAGCCTTTGGTGAAATCTGAAAACGTATTTTTTGCCACACTCACCTGTGCCTTACACCGAAGTCGTCTAGTATCAAAGAAAATGATAACTTGACTTGGAGGGCTTTGTCAAGTTCTGTCGAGGATTTCTTTAATTTTTCAACCTCTGCCACAGATATTAGTGCATCTGCTACACTTCTGTCCGTGGTGCTCAGTTGGCTTGCTCTCAACATGAACTTGGCACGGCCACTTGACCAAATGTCTCAGGAAATGCCACTTCTAGTAGCCTTTATTTAAATGATTGATGAAATCAACTCCAACACTTACTTTATTCATTCCTCTGGTTACATTTACACTGAGAATGTCAATATGGATGTGGTTTAATTCCTCATGTGGGTGGATCAACTTACTGGTCAGGGTGCCAAGACTGCACATGAAGGCTGCCAAAAGTTATACTACTGTTTGTAGATGTTAGAAAACCTGTGATTCTTAGCACTCTATGCCACCATCAGTATAAGGACTAGGAGCCATTCTATGATTTAATATTATATAGTGTTTTTATTATCATTGATCATGATAACAAGAAAAATAATAATAGCAGCTTTTATATAGCTTTAAGGTTTGTAAACTACTTTACATAAGTTATATCATTTGATCATTTCACTATGGTCAAGGAATTCATTTCCTAGTGGTCAAACTTCTGATGGTAGGCCACTTCATATTGCCCTAGGAGAGTCCTTGGAAAGCAAAGGATCAAAGGATTATAGATTTAGAACAAGAAGAAATCTCACAGGCCATCTAGTACAACCCTCTCATTGTACAGAGGAGGAACCTGAGGACCAGGGAGGTGATATGACTGGCCCAAGGTCACTGGAAGGCACCTCAAAGGTCATTTAGTCCAACACTTGTTGTACACAGGAAGAAACTAAGGCACAACATCACACATCAGATCCCTATATCTAGTGTGGGAAGAGAGCTTAGAAGCCATTTATCCAATCCCCTCATTTTACAGATGAGGAAACTGAGACCCAGGGAGTTGAAATGGCAATTCCAGAAACACTACACTGCCCCTCAGCCAGAATCCATCACTGGGCTCATCCCTAAGGAATCTTTCCAACTGCCAGACATATCACTTCCCCACCATGAGGAGGCCTCTGCAATCAGAGAACGGCTCTGGTGGTAATGGCAGACAAAGACATTTATGTGAAAACACCTCTGCCACAGTCTTCGAGCCTCTCCAACAACATCTGGACCCATGATTTCATCAGTATGGGGAATTCCCAGCATGGAATCTCCCTCCACTGATGCGGATTGGCAATTAGTCTTAGAGGGTTGCCTAAGACACTGAGAGGTTAAGTGACTTGCCCAGGTCACACAGGCAGGATTAGAACCTGGTATTCCAGACTTCAAAATCAATCCTTCAGCACCCATATCATGGTGCTACTTAACTGATTACAAAATAAATCCCTATGTGCTATAGAATCAGAATTTTCTGGAATTAAAATGTGCTTTTACTTTTTTAAATTCAGATTCTCTTACCTCTTTTTATCCATTTTTTAAAAAATGTTGAGTTTCCAATTCTCTCCCTTCCTTCTTGCCCCTCCTCCACCCATTGAGAAGGCAACCAATATGATCTCAATTATACATGTGAAGTCATGCAAAAAAAATGTGCTTTTACAAAAAGAAATATTACAAAGTGTCTCTCATGACAGCATTCTATCTCCCAATTCTCAACAAGGTAAGTCTTAATCTATATATAAAACTACCGTGTATATCCATTGTCTCAGTCTCACAACATTTTTCATGTCCCTGGCTATGTTGTGAAATAAGGGATGGAGGAGGCAAGACATAGACCAGTATTTTAAGAGGATGCCAGGGAAGACACTAACAGAGATGTCTTGGGTGGAAGTAAGGGGATTCTCTCCAACCCAGTTGGACAAATATGTTGATTTGTTAGCTAGCTAGATATTTACAAAAATATTCCAGTGGAGGGGGGAAATCTTTACATCCAATTCCACTGATAACAGTCAGATACTAAGGGTATAGAGGGAATTAATACAGATATATAAGACCAGGAGCCATTTCCCAATAGATAAGAGGTCAAAGAATATTAATAGACAGTTCCTAAAAGAATTAGACACTAATAATAACCATGTAAAAGACTGCTCTGAATCTCTAACAGTAAGATATAAACCAAAACAACTCAGATTTTACCTCATACCCAGCAGATTGTCAAAGATGACAAGGCAAAATCAACGTTGGAGGGGCTGTGGAAAAACAGGCACACTAATATATTGTTGGTGGAGGTATGAACTGATCCAACCACTCTGGAAAGTAATTTGGAGTTATACTAAGACAATGACTAAAATGTTCATACCTTTTGACCCAGCGATCCCAATACTAGGCAAATGCACCACAGAGATCAAAGACAAAAAGAAAGGTCCCACAGATACCGAAATAGTCATAGCAGCATTTTTTTCAGACAGCAAGGAAATGGAAACAAAGTAGATGTCCATTTATTGAAGGAATGGTTAAACAAATCATAGTATATGAATATAATTAGATATTGTTGCTCTATAAGAAATGAGGAATATGAATAATTCCAAGAACCATGAAAAGATTTATATGAACTGATGCAGAGCAAATTAAGCAGATGACTATAACAATGTAAACAAGAAGAAATAAAAACATAAAAGGATGCCATATGGTTATAATGACCAAGTTTAGACCCAGAGAAGAACTGATAAAATATGGCTTCCTCTCTTCTTTGAAGAGGTGAGGGACTATTAGAGGGTGGAATATTGTATATACTTTCAGACACCATTGGCATACTAACTGATTTTGCTGAGCTGCTTTTTTTTTTCTTTCGTTTTGAATCTTTGTTACAAAGGATGGCTTGTTGGACAGGGAAAAGGTAAGGGATATATTGGAAAATGAGGATGAGCTAAAAATTAAACTCAAATGGATGAATAGTCTCATTAATTGGCAAATTTCCTCCCACAGCACCCTATTTATTAATAAAATTTTAAGATGTCATTTCAGGCTCTCTTCATTATATAAGCTACCACATCAACCAATCAATCCATCAACAAGTAGTTATTAAGCACTGACTGCGTGTCAAGCACTGTGCTAGGCTCTGAGCATACAAGTACAAAGAATGAAACAATTCCTATAGTAACCAAAGGACTTACAATTTAATGGAGGACATGATAAGCATATATCTATATCTATATCTACATATCTACACATATATATCACAAATATAAATTGAATGAATACAAATATACACAAAGTAACTAAATAAAAGGTAGTATTTGGGAGGGAGGGCACCAAAAGTTGGGGGGGAATCAGGAAAGGCTTCATGCAGAAGATGTGCTTAAGCAGCATCTAATCAGAAGAGAGAGACAGATAAGAAAGGAATGTACTCTAAGCACAGGATACGGCCCCTGAAGAGGCATGGAGATGGGAAGTGGAGAGTCATGTGAAGAAGAGAAAATCAGTATGGTTAGAGTAGAGTAGAGGAAGGTTGGGGCCAAGTGGTGAAGAGTTTTAAAAGCTAAACAGGAGAGGGCCTAGAACAGAACCCTGGAGAATACCCACAGTGAGGAGAAACGATGTGAATGATGAGCCAGCCTTACCTTATGCAGGTAAGGAGAGAGTAATGTCATGAAAATCCAGGAGACAATATCAAGGAGGAGACAGTGGTCACCAGTGTCAATTACAGCAGATGGCTGAGAAGAATGAGAACTGAGAAAAGGCCATCATACTTGGGAATTAGAGTTCACTGGTAACTTTGGAGAAAGCAATTTCAGCAGAGTGATGAGGTCAGAAGCCAAATTGCTAAGGGCTGAGGAGTAAGCAAGAGGACAGGAAGCATGGACAACTTTGTTCTAGGAGTTAGGCTGAGAAAGGGAGAGGAGATATAAAACAGCTTGAGGAGATGCTAAGGTCTAGGGAAGGTTTTTTAAGGATAAGAGTGATGTGGGCTTGATTGAAGGTAGTAAAGAAGGAAAGAGTGGATAGATAGAGGTTGAAGATTCAAGTGAGACAGGATGATTGAGGATGCAATCTACTGGAGGGAGAAGAGAGGAAGGTATGGGAGCAAGCACACATGTAGAGAGGTTGGCCTTGGCAAGAAGGGCCACCTCTTTGCCAGAGGCTGGGGGAATTGAAATCTTACGCCAACCATCCTTGGTATCTCGGGCAAGGTTTGGGGAATAAATCACTTTCATGTTTATCACAGTTTCAAGCCTGACTCAAAAATTTATAACTATCAATAGGGGCTTTGAGCCAAAAATTGAGGATACTAAACAGGCTTTCATCTTTAAACATGACAATGTGATAAGATTCAAGAGGGAAAAAATGTCCCTTCCATTTGAGTGCTTATGACTAAATCAGAAAAGGAGCAGAGGAGAAGGGGAGGGAGAGCAGAATTCATTTACGTCTAGTGAGCTTTTCAGTCAGGATTATTACAAAGACTTGGCACCAAGAGAAACCTGCATATTGTGGAATTTTCAGAGTTTCTATAGATTTCAGGAACACTAAGGAATAATTTCTAGAAAGAAAAAGAAACAAGCCCCTCTCCTCAAAAGCAGAAAGAAATACAAATACAGGGTTGGGCCCACTGGACAAAAAAGTCTCAGAAATGAATTCAAGCAACTCACCTTGGAGGACACAATCCGGTTATCACAAAACTTCTCGGCCATGTATGCATCTGCTTCTGGGGCTCGGTGGTGACCAATGTGTATAGTGCGAGTGCCAACCCGCTGCTCTTCCCCTCCACACTAATCAACAGAAGAGAAAAAGGTAGTAAGCCTTTCACAATAATTTTCATGTTTACTGAGCCAAGGCATTAGGTCTATGTGTTTTGCTCTGGTCTTTGGTTTTTGGTGGGTTTTATTTTGGGGGGGGCGAGTTCACTTTTTTTTAAAGAATTCAGAAGCCTCTCAAGTCTCAGTCACTGACTTAAGAATGTCAAGTTAAATAAAAAAGAAGTTTTGTTGGATTTTTTTTTAAAGAGTTTACCCTTAACCAATGGTTCAGCAACCTCCTCTGATGCAAACAGACTCGAACACATCAGCAGATTTGTGATCTCACTGATATGGGTGTAGGCCTTCCAAAACAACAGCTCATTATCCTGTCTATGCCTACCCATCCAGTGTGGCATTCATCTTGGTTCTCCCATGTATACTCCAAGGGAGAGCCAGAGCACCAGGAGCCTTCTTCAAGTTCTCTGAACGGTGAGAGGATAACTGCCAAACATGTGAGCAATCTGGCCACTATTGCTTCTCTCACTATATGACCACCACATCTCGGGTTCACGTCCTGGTTCCACATTACAATTAAAATGAGTTTAGTTTCAATCTAGGACCTGTCAGTCATTTCCCCTTAGATTGGTTTTCCCACCTGACCTTGGGGAAAATCAAATTGTATATATCCCCTTTAATTTGAAGGCAGATTATATTGAAGACATACTAATACTCCAATATATCTGATTTCAGTGATAACGTGGACATTTCCTTCAGTAATGAAGACTGCAACCCATCTATGCCTCCTCATCCTAGGTAACTTCTGTCTAAGTCCTCCCATAAGTTCACCATAGGAGGTCCACCCAATGTACCACATAGGCCTTCCTTACTTTTTTTTTAATCTTTGGTTTGTTTGGGGTTTTTTTGTTTTTTTGGGGGTTTTTTTTGAGGCAATCAGGGTTAAGTGACTTGCCCAGGGTCACACAGCTAGTAAGTGTCTGAGGTCACATTTGAATTCAGGTCCTCCTGACTTCAGGGCCAGTGCTCCATCCACTGCACCACCTAGCTGCCCCTGGACTTCCTCACTCTTGAAATCTTTCTCTTCACCAATCACCTTGCCTCCTCAATAAACCTTTGAGCTGGGGACCTCTTCTCCCCATTGGTGAGGTCCTCCCTGGTACCACCATTTTGGGAAGGACCCCAGCCATGCTTCATCTCACTCTCACTTCAATTCTCTCCAGACTCCACTTTCTTCTCCTTGCTAGTCTTGCTGCTCCCTCCCAGAGGTATCCTCCCCCTCCTCCTCTTCCCCGGTTTCTAACACCTCTTTGCATATTTTCTTCTCTCCTTATAATATAAGTTCCTTGGAGACAGGAACTGTCTTGTGTATGTGTATTTATATCCCCAGTAGTCTGTTATCTATCTATCTACCTACCTATCTATCTATCTACCTATCTATCTGCTTGTCTATCTGTCTCTCTCTACCTGTCTATCTCTCCACTTGTCTATTTACCTGTCTGTCTGCCTATGTACCTGTCTGTCTGCATCTGTCTACCTACCTGTCTATTTATCTACCTGTCTTCCTATCTACCTATCTGTTTATCTATCATCTCATTCTTTCTCAATCTCTATCTGTTCATCTATTTATCTATCTACCTACCTACCTACCTATCTGTCTATGTACCTATCTCTCTACCTGTCTATCTATTTACCTACCTATCATCTCACTCTTTCTCAATCTCTGTTCATCTATTTATCTACCTACCTACCTGTCTGTCTATCTACCTATCTCTCTACCTGTCTGTCTATCTATCTATCCATCCATCTATCTACCTGTCTATCTACCTATCCATCTATCTACCTACCTATCATCTCAATCTTTCTCAATCTCTATCTGCCTGTCTATCTATCTATCTATCTATCTATCTATCTATCTATCTCTATTTCACTCCTATTATCTCTCAGTGTATCAGTCTCATTCTATCTCTATCTCTATCTCTATCTATCTAGAGAATACCAGTGGAGTACCTAGGCTATCCATCAGGTCTGCCTTGCTCTTGTGACATAACCAGACCAGCTTCTATTTTTTGCTCATGTATTTCCTGGATGACATCTTTTACATGGTTTCTTCTTCATCATTCCTTGCTTGAATTGCATTTCAGTCTGCCTGCATACATCCACCAAACACTTCTCCATGACCCTTCAGGGAATCCTCAATTTAAATTCTTCAGAAACTGTAGTGTCCCATGACTGGCAGCTCGACACCACCAGAAGACTATTCATATTGATTAGTGTTGAGGAAAACCCGGTCACAAACTTTACCCCTGATGGACAGTAAAAGAAGCAGTTATTTCCAAGCCCATGAGCACTGCCTAGCTAGGAAGCTACTACTCCAAAAAGAAATAATCCCATCCTTATTAATGGAGCAATCAGATGCTTCTCCAAAGAAACCATTATAATTCGTGGGCTTTAAAGGAAGACAATCCCATGGGGATCAATCACAGTCTATTGTGTTTCATCTCTCTTTGAAACCACCTTTCTCTGATTTCTTTCCCATGTTTTTAAATCAGGCTTGTTGATTATTTAGCAACATGACTTGAGATAAACTAGAAAAAACACAGACCAGGGCATCTGGAGACTGGGGGTCTATTCTTAGCTTAGATACTGACTGATTTCCACTGTGGCTTTGCTCAGCTCTCTCCTCATAAATTGGGATGAGGATACATTTCCTTCAAGTGTTGCAGCAAGTAGTTGAGAAAGACTGACATTAGAACTTGGTGCAAGGGACAGAACACTGGTCCTTGAGTCCGAGGAGCTGGGTTCAAGCGTTGTCATTTATTACTAATTGTGTGAGCCTCGACAAATCATGCAACCTCTGATTTTTAGTTGTCTCATTTATAAAATTGGGGGGGGGGCGCAGTCTACTAGAGAGCCTCTAAGGTCCCTTCCAACCCTAAAATCTGTAATGCCAGCATGATACCAAGGGTACTATATAATTAATAATAATAGCTAATATTTATATAGCTCTTTATGGGCAGCTAGGTGGCACTGTAGCGGCTAGAGTGCCAGGCCTAGAATCAGGAAAACCTGAATTCAAGTCCAGGCTCAGACACATACTAGCTGTGTGACCCTGGGCAAGTCTCTTAACCCTGTTTGCCTCAGTTTCCTCATCTGTAAAATAAGCTGGAGAAGGAAATGGCAAATTTACTCCAGTATCTTTGCCAAGAAAACCCCAAATGGGATCACAAAGAGTCAGACACGACTGAAAAAACAACTAAACAACCACAATATATAGTGCTTTAAGGTTTGCAAAGCACTTTACAAATATTATCTTATTTGATCCTCACAACAACCTTAGTAGGAGTTAGGTGCTATTATTATGGCCATTTTATAGCTGGAGAATCTGAGGCCGATAGAGGCTATGTGATTCGTCCAGGGTCACACAGTGAGCAAATGTCTGAGGCTGGATTTGAGCCAGTCTTCCTGGCTCCAGGTCCAGACCTCTACCCATAATCTTCTCTCCTCTGTGACTTTAATGAAGTCTTAAATAATAGTTGACATTTATATAGCATGTTATCTTAGAAGACTTTACCTATATAATCTTACTAGTTACTTCTAATGGTCCTATGCCTTGGCAGTGAGTAGATAATTAGCCCATTTTACTGAAGGAGAAACCAAGACTCAGACTCCCGAGGCAGATTTCCCCTGGTTACAAAGCTCCAATTCCAGTGTTTTCATCTCTAAGCTTACATGTCCACAATTCCACTATTATCTTTTCAAGGCATGTTACCAAATAAAACCTCTAACTACACCAAGAGTGGGGAACCTGCGGCCTCCAGGCTACATGTGGCCCTCTAGGTCCTGAAGTGCAGCCCTTTGACTGAATCCAAATTTCACAGAACAAATTCTCTCAATAAAAGGATTTGTTGTAAAACTTGGACTCAGAAGGCTGCACCTGAGGACCTAGAAGGCCAGGTGTGGCCCGGAGGCTACAGGTTCCCCACCTGTGAACTACACCAATCTTGATTTTTTTAAAACTTGTCTTGTAGCCATGTAGGCTTTTCTCACTTTTTAGTGACATTTAGAAATGACCCTTTTTGTTTTTTTAAACTATCCCCTTTCCACTAAAAAAGTTATCATCTTACATGGAAATATCTGTAGCTAAAAAGTCAGCCATATTCCCCGTATCTGTGGGTATATTCCAGGAAGCAGCAGTTTTATGCCTCCTGTACATATTGTCCTAGAAACAGTTCCTTTCTCTAAAGAAAATAAAGGGTACCTTTGACTTGATTATATGAAAGGTTTTGTGTTGGGGGTGGGGGGCGGGCCCACAGGATCTCCATATCCATGGAGAAAACCTTTGAAAAGGAAATGGATGTTAATCAAAAGCTGGAGAAATGTGAATGAGGAACTGTAGTGGGCAATTTATCCAGAGAGCTTTGAGATCAAACATCTATCTGCTCTGGGTAACTCGGACAATTACCTGACCGGAGGCAAAGGCCTAGAATGTCCTTCTAAGTATCATAGTCTGTGATCCTAAAATGAAATGCCGAAGGATCCCTGGCTGCTGTCTCCAATTAAAAGCAACCTTTCCAAAGGGATTCTTGTCTCCTTTGGGACTGGAGTGGAGATGGAGGTGGGAACACAGAGAGAAGGGCATTTTCTACTGCCAGGTCTGATGGTACGGAAAGACTTAACTTTTCAAGGACAGAGTAACTTGCTTAGCAAGTCAGCAGGACCCAGCGGGCATGACCTTCCCAGATGTGTTGTTTCCTAGGCAGATAAGGTCTTCTCAATCCTCTAAGCAACAGGAAATCATCGAAATTATTATCTCTAACTTTTTGTGCCCCGCTCTGAATCAAGGCAAAGGTCAAGTCTATATGGAGCAGCTTTGCGGTGAGGGCAGATCTGATTTCAGAGGAAAATGGCTGTTCAGTGTTTCACCTACAAGTGGCCACACTCCCACGGCTCAGCCCCAGGAAAAGCTGTTTAGTATGCCAGTTGTGAGGCCGTTTCTATAGACTGCATCCTGGGAG